TCTCAAATGGGTTAACTCAGGCATGTATTTTACCATGGCTCCCCAAGTTTCTCATGGAATAATTAAGCTCCATTCTCTTACAATAGTAAACTACTTGATAAGACCCTCTTTATTAGCTTTCAAATCTGTGCCTTATTATGTATAGGTGCTTTATATTTAGTATTTCATCTAATTATCTCTAGAACTCTTAAAGGTAGGAATCTGATTCAAAGGGTTAAAAATAACATTAACCTTTGTGCAGAGTCACAGAGCAAGCCATGACTGTAGGTGCAAAACCTGCGTTCCTTCTCCAAAAGAACAGAACACGGGGGATGGTTCTATTCATATTATAAGGATTATACTTCAAAACTACAAAAAACATAAAATTGTATTTTCCTTTCCAAAGAAAAACAGCTTTTAAAAAAAATTCTAAAAGACACCAGTAAACCAAAAGTTATTTTTAAAGTAATTAGTAATGTCATTATGAATTAATCTATTGACCACATGGTGGGGGGGAGAAAAGGGTCAAGTCAAATATATAATGGAAATGGTAATGGCGAAGGTGAGTGCTTTCAAGTTTCCTAAAAATTATATTCCTTTACAGCTAAATTCACTAATCATAATGAAGAAATTTGTTTTTCATATCAGGACTTAAAAAAAAAGGAATAGAAGACATTTACAATAATATAATCTAAGATTTTTAAAATAAGCATAATTCATTTATCAATTTTTAAGTTACAAATGTTAAATATTATAATAAAACACTTTTAAATGTACATGTTTTGTCATGCTGTATTTCATTTATCCATTCATTGCATATACACTCATGCTGGTTCTAAGATCTATAAGATATATCTTATGGCCAGTTTTGCACTAGAGACAAAGGAAGGGAGTGGGAGGATAAAGTAAAACTAAACTACAGAATGGACAGAGAAAAAACAAACATGGAGAAAAATTTCATAGACTACCAAACCCAATTTTTGTATCTTCAAAACTATATTTTCAAATATAGAAAAATTCATTTAATTAACAAATACAAAAATAAAAAACACTAAAAAGCAGATAATGCTAGGCAATGAATATACAATAACAACAAAAGTAGTATTTGCCTTTAAGTTACTTAAAATTAAGTTGAAGTAAACTTTAGTATTTGCCACTGTAGACCTTACAATTGAGAAGTCTATTCATATTCAGTAAAGATAATGAAAATGTAATTGCATTAGCACTACTTAAAATTTAGGTCCACAAAATGCATTTTAAAATATATTTTATGTTTAAGGTTTAACTTGAACTTCATTCATTAAAAAAATATTCATCTACATTTGAAAAGTGAATTTCCAGAAATATACAGGAAATAACAAAAATAAACTTAAAAAAATAAAAATAGACTAAAAAAACTTATCAAGACAAATGTGTTAAATTACTAAATGAATTTAACCTGTAAAATAACCTCAATTTTAAAAAAACAGAAATCATTTTTATAATCACATCAAAAGATACAAATAATTAAGTTTGTTTTTTCTCAAAATTCAGTCATCAAATTAATAAAATGCTAAAAAATAATATTTCCCACATTATTAGTATTAAAAATATTCAAAGCAAAGTTAATATCCAATTTTGGGGAAGACACATAAAATCAAGAAATGCAAATATAGTTCAAATAGCAAAAAAAAAAGAACAAAAAACCTGAACAATTATCAAATAATTCAGTGACTTTAAGAATTCAAAGTTATTATATTAATTTAGTGTTAATGATCTGAATCAATCAGATGAATGTAAACTGTGAACAAAGTAGATCTAAATTCTAGAAATAGAGATATAAGCTTTAGTAACCAAGGATCTTAATATTAAATGGCCAGGGGCACCTGGATGGCTCAGTCGGTTGAGCGTCCGACTTCAGCTAAGGTCATGATCTCATGGTTAGCGGGTTCCAGCCCCATGTCGGGCTCTGTGCTGACAGCTAGCTCAGAGCCTGGAGCCTGTTTCGGATTCTGTATTTCCCTCTCTCTCTGACCCTCCCCCGCTCGCCAGCTTGCTCACGCTCTCTCTATCTCAGAAAAAAACAAAATTTTTAATAAAACAAATGGTCAATAATGCAGGAAGCTAGAAGTATATCTTAAAGAATATTAAACTTCTTAAATTCATTATTTTCCTAAAATATATGTCCTTGAGCCTGTCCAAGCTGATTACAGGAAAAAGAAAGAATGAGAAATAAACTTTCCAAGCCCAAACCCAATTTTTCCCAGGCTACTTTACTTCAATTTTCCTTAATAAACTGCCAAAATTGACAAGAAAAGAAGTGAAATGTATATTGCTTGATGTTCTGTATAAAAAATCTTTTAATAGTTTTCTATCTCCCTATTCCTGAATATTTTATATAAATGTCTAAACTAAGTGTTCTCTGACTAAACTTAAGGAATAAAAGCAAATCTTTTATTTTCTTTCATAGTTTACGTCAAGTTGGTTTCCATATAACAGCCAGTGCTCATCCCAAAAAGTGCCCTCCCATGCCTATCACTCGCGTTCCCCTCTCCCCCACCCCCATCAGCTCTCAGTTTGTTCTCAGTATTCAAGAGTCTCTCATGGTTTGGGGTGCCTGGGTGACTTAGTCGGTTAGGCATCCGACTTTCGCTTAGGTCATGATCTCGCGGTTTGTGGGTTCGAGCCCCGCGTCGGGCTCTGTGCTGACTGCCAGCTCAGAGCCTGGAGCCTGTTTCAGAGTCTGTGTCTCCCTCTCTCGCTGACCCTCCCCTGCTCACGCTGTCTCTCTCTCTCTCTCCTAGAAAATTTAAAAATATATTTAAAAAAAGAGTCTCTCATGGTTTGCTTCCCTTAAAGGCAAATCTGAAAATGTCTTAACCAATCAGTATTTATATGCTTGTTATATATGAGATTTTTTTTAAGTTTAAAATGTGGTTTTCAGGGGTGCCTGGCTGGCTCAGTCACTAAAGCATGTGACTCCTGACCTCAGATTACTGAGTTTGAGCCCCATGTTGGGGGTAGAGATTACTTGAAAATAGATAATAAGTAAAAACACAATGAAATGTACTTTCCATTCTTACTGTGTGTTGGGTTATTAAGACTAACAGATAAATTAGCAAATCATATAGAACAAAATATGATATAATGATAAACTATATGGCAAATTAAGTACTAGAGGTGATCAATAAAAGAAAATCCTAATGAAAGTCAAAACAGTCTAGGAAGACATGATTTTCTGATTTTTGTTTCTAGCTTAAAAGAGACAAACTTTCCCATTAGCTGTCTACAACAGGAAAGTAAATAATTTACTAAATTTACCTATTAAATTTCACTAAATTGAATTACTTTAAAAGCATTATATATATATAAATTGGTAAATTTCTGAACATCTTTCAGAACACATGTACTTAATAATTTCTGCAGCTATTAGCATCAATGAATGATACGTTTACAAAGTTGCACAGTCCAGTAGTAAGAACACTGGTTTTAAGTCTCACATACATGGACAAGAATTCTAGTTCCATCAATTATTTGGCTTTTTGACCATGGGCAAGTTACTTAACGATGCTGAGACTGTTTCTTCTTAAGTGAAATAAGGATAACAACAATCACTTCCAATGATTATTGAAAGGATTAAATAACACAACATATGTAAATAGCACAATGCCAGTTAGAAAAAAATAATATGTGCTTAATATTAACTCCCACATTCAAACACATTTCAAATATAGTAATAACAGAACACCAAAAGACTGAAATGCTCTGTTTTACATTTATTCTTCACCATACAAACTGATACACTGATTTTATTAGTAAAAATTAATGTGTTCAGCTTCTAATTCTGTAATGATTCTCATTCATCTCTGAGAATTTGATAAAAATGATGGACTTCTTCCTCTCAAAATACCACATATGCACAGCATTTCACATCAATTTAGGGACATTAACAGATTCCATGAAAGCTACATTGAAAGCCATGTTCTATCTAGCTATTTAAAAAAACTTAATTCAAATTAAATAAAATCTAAAAATTCAGTTCCTCAGCTGCACTGGCCACATTAAAGTGCCCAATAGCCACATAAAGCTAGTTGATAACACAGATACAGAAAATTTCTATCATCTCAGAAACTTCTATCAGATAGAGCTGTTATGAAATATCAACATGGTGTAATATATAAAACTATTTTACCTCTGTGTTTGGTTTTAAACATCTAGATACACCTCTTTTTAAAGTAGACTCTCAAGAGTACAGAGACTATGAATATTTTGCCCACAAATGAATCTTCCAGGTCCAGAACATAGTAAGTATTCAATAGGTATTTAACAGCTGACACTATAATTGACTAAATTGGTAAAGACCAGAGCTGAAAGGTGTGAACTCAAGGAGTATATAAATATGTAATTTTTTAAAAATGGGGAGGCGCCTGGGTGACTCAGTCTGTTAAGTATCCAACTCTTGATTTTGGCTCAAGTCATGATCTCAGGGTCATGAGTTCAAACTCCACGTAAGGCTCCACACTGAGTGTAAAGCCAACTTAAGATTCTGTCCCTCTCCCTCTGCTCTTCCCCTGCACCGTGTCCCCTCCCTCTCCTGCCCTCAAAAGTAAATAGTTCCCAACTTAAAAAAAAAAAGAGATCAACTTACATATACTCTCAACTAATAAACTCCTAAAGCCAATGAGGTCTCCCTGCATGCAGACTAAATTTTTTAATTTTGACTATGCGTATTGGCTAAAATATGCAAAATTTTCAGCCTTGTCTATAGCCTATTCTATTCAAGAATAGGAAAGATGCTTACTTTTAGCTAGAGTGTACATTACTCCTATATGGATTTTTCCTAGAGTAGTTAACTCATTTTTAAACAGTATGTATATATTCACACATAGTTCAACAAACAAACATTTTAAAAATTCACCAAAGTTTTAGAATTTAAAGATTATGGCACTAAAGTATTAGAAAACCTAATGTATCTTGAAATCAAGACAAAATTGCTTCTATATACAGAACAGTAAAAGGTCTAATAATAATTTTGCACTTACACTGCCACATTTTTTCTAATGGTATATTCATCCAAATCATCATCAGAGCTGCTATCAGTTGCATCAGAATCCAGACCATCTTCAACATGAGACAACAGCCCTGTAGCAGACAGTGCAAATCTTTGGATTTCTGCAGCTGTACACCGTGCAAAGCCATTTTTTGTATCACTCCACAATTTATTCTCTGCAGTCAACATGTTGACTTCTGGCTTAATTTCAGTGCATTTAGGTAAACTGCTATCCAAAACTGTGGTAGGTTCATGAAAGATCTTCATTTGGGGGAGCTGATGTTTCACAGAAAATTTCATTTGTTGACCATAGTGCTTAACAACATGCTTTGCCAGGAGCATCTGCAAATGTTTCTGAGTTCTTCTAGCCTGGCTAAGTAAAATTTTCTGTTTACTTACGCAATGAAGTAAACGAGCATTCACTTCTTCCTCTTTTTCAGCAGCTGAGAAACTAACAGGCACATTTGAGTGGCCAGGCCCAATTTTCTTTTGAGCACAGTGCAATAAACCCTTTTTAATTTCAGTATCAGTAACTTTATCCAAAAGTGCATTCTTTTGGTACCATTTACAGTTTTGCAGTTGTACTTTATCTACATTAGTGTCTTTGGTTGTATTTGAATCCAAAATAATTTGTACATCTGTCATGCACTGGCTTGTGGTATCTGACAGAGGTTCCTTTCTGATGAACTCTTCAGAACGAGAATGACAGATTTTATTAAGCTGAATGTTGCTGCCATTACACAGTATGTTTTTCAGCTTACTGCAGTTGGGTTCCCCTAATTTCCTTTGTTTGTAATTTTCACTGTATTTATTTAATGTAGAGTTAGAACTCATTAAAAGAACCGTCTGATAATGTTTTGAAGACTGAGAGGAGCCAAAATGTTTTAAATTCACAAAGTTAGTGTTAAGAGTAGGTTCAGGAGTTGGAAATCCCAGCATCTGAGACAAAGTGTCTCCCTTTAGCTTTTCATCTACAGTTCTTGGACTTTCCATGCATAGCATCTTGTCAGACTCCATGGTGCTTGGTAAAGATGAAAAGCAGATACCCTTTGTTGCTGCCTCCCTCAGAGCCGGGGTCATGGCGAATCCTGCAGATAATTACTGGAAACCTAAAATAATGTAAAAATAAATGATCAAATATCTAGAATAAAAGGTTTATGCTTATACTTTTTCCAAAGGCAACATTTTCAATGTTTCTGATTAAAATGTAAATGAAACCAAATTCCTCCTTTATTTCCTAGCTCCTAATAATATCTGTTCTTTCCTAATTCATAAGGAATTCAATAAAGACTAAACTATTCTTCACTCTGACTGTGGGCCCAGTTCCAAAAATTCCAATTCAGGTTGCACATTACCTAGCACGTGTTAGACAAATGCTTGTGGATGTGCCTCAGGACTCCTTCTTTGTTTTCTTTTCTTTTTTTTGACAATGTTTAATGAAAGGCAAAAAAAAAAAATATTCCAATCTGGAATCAGGGAATTATATTTGAAAATGTGACTTAATCTCATACTTTATGCCAAAGTAAGAATTACTTATCTTTATAAAATATAGTAAACTGCTCAAAACCTCCATTTCTCAACTTAAAGTTCATAATCTGAACAGTATAAATATTAACTAAAATACTAAATAATGTTAAAAGATGTAAGTAACTGCATTACAAAAAAAAGTATATAATTTCACAACTGTTAAAAATATTATGATAGCTAAAACCTGCTTGATCAGCAATGTGCAAACATTTTTCATGAAAAAGCATCTGTAATAATTTTTTTCCCTTTTCACAATGTAGAGTGATCAGTTATAATTATAAAAGCTGTTACTCCTGCTTGGAACATACTGGGGACTGTAACAGACGACTAGTAAAGATTAATCCTATAACTAAACAAATTTCATTGTATTTTATCAAAAGAAAAAGTGTAACCCATATAGTCTGATTAATTAAATAAGCTAATCCTATACCATTGAAAATAATGAAGACTGCATAGTGAAAAAAATCAGTATATCATTAAAAATTATGAGTTTTATAAGATATTCTGCAAATTTACTCCATAATTTTTGTTTCAATGCATGACAGTTAGTAGTCATTTAAATGGCCATGCTCTCATATCGTATGTCCCTAGGAGCTAGCTGTTAACTCTATACCCTTCACTGCTGTATAAAAACACAAGACCAATAGGGGATCCTTCACAAAGACTAGCAAAAATGATCAAAGGTCAAAAGGCATGAAAGTTTTAATGCAGTTAAAAAATATGTATACAGGCTTAAATGCAAATTATAGTCTAGGAAAATATATTGGCAACATATATTATAGAAAAGAATTCATATCCAGAATACATAAAGAACTCCTACAAATGAGGAAACTAGTTAGACACTTCACAGATGACATCCAAATGGTCATTAAATACATATTCAATCTCACTAGTAATGAAGGAATTATAGATTAATAAAGCAAAAGACCAGTTTTCCAGCCACTAAATTGAAAACAATGTTTTAAATCTGAAATATCAGTTATTATGACAATGTGGATAAATAATATTTCTCACATCTATCTGGACTATAAATTGATTCAAAATTTGACAATCTGGAAAATGTTTTTGTCACAAGTGCACAAAACAGCAGTGTTTCTAGCAGAAAAATACTCTTTCAAAGCAACCCAGATATCTAACAATAAGAGGATGCATAATAAAGCACACTGGAATACTATACAGCAATTAAAAAGAATGATCTAAATTTATATATATCAATATGCACAAATCTCAGAGTATAAAGTTAAAAACAAAAGAATGGTACAGTATATAATATGCTACCAAATAAATACAATACAAACATAAGCTCTTTTTGCTGCATCTACTGTGAGAATAAAAATTATTCTCAGTAATCAAACTGTCGACATTCCAGAAAATGCCAATGTCACTCTGAAGAGATGCACTGTTATTGTGAAGGGTTCCAGAGGAACCCTGCAAAGGAACTTCAATTACATCAATGTAGAACTCAGTCTCCTTGGAAAAAAAAAAAAGAGGCGGCTCCGAGATGACAAATGGTGGAGAAATAGAAAAGAACTGGCTACTGTTCCTACTATCTATAGCCATGATCAAGGGCATTACACTGGGCTTCCAAGATGAGATCTGTGTATTCTTCTCCATCATCAACATTGTTACTCAGAAAAATGGCTCTCCTGTTGAAATCCAAAATTTCTTGGGTGAAAATACATCCACAGGGTTTGGATGAGACCAGGTGCTGCTTGTTCAATATCTCAAGTCCAGATAGATGAGTTAATTCTTGAAGAAAATGACATTGAACTTATATCAAACTCAGTTGCTTTGATGCAACAAGCCACAACAATGAAAAACAAAGATGTCAAAAAAAAAAAGTCTTGGATGGTTATCTATGTTTATGAAAAAGGAAACTTTAGCAGGCTGATAAATAAGATCTAAGTTGTCCAGCTACAGAAACATTAAGATGCCAGATGTATTTTAGACTTGAGAGATTTAAAAAATGCAATAAAACCTGTATTGATTTGGGGGAAAAAATACAAACACAAGACCACACCATATATATGTAAGTGTGTGTGCATTTATGTGTTTACAAGAAAAAAAAAAAAAAAACAGAAAAATACCAACCAAATCCGTAATAGTATCGCACATCAGATAATTTCCATGAAACAAAACTAAAAGTGGTAGCGTAAGAGGAGTTGAGTTTCAACTACAAACTTTGGCACTTGGAGGAAAAAGACTTAAATACAAAATGAACACATGTTAATGGTTGTTAATTCTATGTGATAAAAATACAGATATTTGGGGGCACCTGGCTGGCTCAGTCAGTAATGCATGCAACTCTTAATCTTGAGGTTGTGAGTTCAAGCTCTACATTGCTTGTAGAGAGCTTACTTAAAAAATAGAGAGGTGTGGGGCGCCTGGGTGGCTTAGGCGGTTAAGCGTCCGACTTTCGCTTAGGTCATGATCTCGTGGTTCGTGGGTTCGAGCCCCGCGTCGGCTGTGCTGCCAGCTCAGAGCCTGGAGCCTGTCTCAGAGTCTGTGACTCCCTCTCTCTCTGACCCTGCCCTGCTCACGCTGTCTCTCTCTCTCTCTCTCTCTCCTAGAAATAAATAAAACATTAAAAAATTTAAAAAAAGAGGTGTTTGCCCTTTTTATACTTTACTGTGTAATGTCTCAAAAAACGTAGACATTTTTCTCTCTCCAAAGTCTACATACCTCAAAGTTACTAATTTTATGAGACATATTCTATTATCTTCTAATTTATAAACATCTACAATAGTATTTAGATAACTACACTGCTCTCTGAGGAAAACTATGTTAATCACAGATGAGGTGGTCATATTCAAAAGATACTATACTTTATCCCCTCACCCCCTACTTTTTCTCACTTGAACAAGGTGCTAGAAATATAATCAAAGTGACTAGCAGCAGGGGCAGAAGGTAAAATGTCATGAGGCAGCAGAGTTCATCTTGGGCTCTTGATAAACTAAATACAAGGGGAAAACTAAAAAGAAGGGGTAAAAAATAGAGATTAATAGTTAAGAACTAGGGTTGGTAGCAAAAAAGAAATGTAGATTTAGACAGGATAAGACACATTTATGGTAAAGAACTAGAAGAAAATGCACACAAAAAAAAACCCTCTGGTGAGATCTCTAGGATTTACTTGGTAGTATCTACTAGTTTCTAAAATGATCTTAATAATCCCCACTTCCTGGTATTCATGCCCTTTCTTCTGGAGTATGGACTGGATTTAGTGACTTGCTTTTAGCAAACAGAATGCAGGAGAGGTGATGGGATAGCACTTCTGAGACTAGGTTACAGAGACTGTGGTTTTCACCTTGTCACCCTCATTCTGGAATGCCAGCTGCCATGCTCTGAGCTGCGAAGACCCACATGGCAATGGACTAATGTCTCCAGCCAACAGCAACAACTACCGAAAGCCTGCCAACAGTTATGTGAGTGATCTGAGAGACAGATCCTTCCCCAGTCAAGCCTTCAGATGATGGAAAATCCAGCCAACACACGGAATGAAGCCTTGTGCAAAATCTTGAGCCAGAAGCACTCAGCTCAGCCATGCTTAGATTCCTGATCCACAGAAGCTGTGAAATAGACTGTTACAAAACCATAGATAACTAACACATTTGGATATGAAGACTTTTGGGTTCTAGTCTCTGGAAGCCCCACCCATTTCACAGTTCCAATTCTAGGATTTACATAAAGTGCTTCTATATTCTATTCCCAAGTGTATCCTTATAAAATTCCCAGCCTAAAGTCTTTCTACTTTGCATCCAAAAGAAACTCATAAAACTAGAAGTCTCCTGTAAATAAGAAATTAAATGATGTTTGCGTAGTTTTTTTAATGTGATATATCATATGGATTGATTTGCAAATATTAAACCACCCACTTAATGTTTAATCATAAAACATAAATGCATTTAATCCATTTTTTTAAATTATTTAAGTATGCAATAATTACATACTAACAATGTATCCTGATTATTTTAAACTTTACCACTTCTAACTTCCTCCCTATTACATAAACTAATATTTCTAAGGACCTATGAAAGCTTGGATTTATGACTACTTTGTTAACTATTACAGGCATCCCTCATTTCATCATACTTCACTTTATTACACATCATTTTGTGTATTTTGTACAAAATGAATATTTTCAGGTTGTGCATTTTGTACAAAATGAATATTTTGGTAACCCTACATCAAGAAAGTCTACCGATGCCATTTTTCCCATAGCATATGCTGACTACATGTCTGTGTCACGTTTTCATAATTCTCACAATATTTCAAAGTTTTTCATTATTATTATATTTGTAATGTTGATCTTGATTGGTGATTATGACTCACTGAAAGTTCAGATGACAGTTTTTAGCAACATTTTTTAAAATTCAAGTACATACAGTTGACCCTTCAACAATGCAGGAGCTAGGGGTGCCAACCACCAACACTGCTGAAAACCCATATGTAACTTTGACTTCTCCAAAACTTAACTACTAGAAACTTTACAAATAATATAGTCAATTAATACATTTTATGTGTTATATGTATTATATAGTAAATTCTTACACTAAAGCTAGAGAAAAAGAAGTGTTAAAAAAGT